CCGGTGTGATGTTAGGGGATGATGTGAAACTGAAAAAGGGGGATAAAATTTGAGTGAAACATGCAGTGCTGTTGTTTTCATCCGGTCTAACGCACATGGAGCGAGAAGCGTGGTGGCGACCGAGTAGGAGGACGAATGACCGACACACGCTGGAGCCGAATATCAGAACATTCGGTTGTTGTGTCCGGATAGTAATTTTGAGATCCGAATATTCGCCCGCCACTCGCCGCCGCCACCCGATGACGGAAACAGAACTGTGACTGCTATCTTAAACTGGCATTAGCAGCCATTGCGTCCCGCCCACTTCCACCCCGTCAGTCTGAATATTCACCTGCGTATTATTTGCACCAAAGTTGTGCAGTTTTGAAGTAATTTGTCTAGCGTCAATTATATCATAAGTTATATTGTTATAGCAAATTTTCTAATTTATATTGTGACAAATATTTTTGCCCTAATTCCCACCCGTTATCTGCTGGACAGACCTCACCCTCTCAGACTACATAAATAAGTTGAAAACAATGATAAACTGTCAGACACAGAGGAAACTAACTATAAACTAACTATTGTCTGATCTGTCAGATATTCAGAATGTCAGGGTTTCGCATCTTTTCTGTACGTGTCAGATGATATTTTAAGAATCTTCACATCTCACTCAGAAGTTTTGGCGTTGCTAAAAACACCAAGAATTAAATCAGTCAAAGTTAATGTACGACAGGCTACAGCGGTGATATGTTGTAAACAGCTGGCCTGTAATCTGATTGTATTCAGCTTCCCACAGTCGATCGCAGCTTTACTCAAAATGAACCGTCAAAATCAGACAAACTCTAAATCTCCACAATTCAAATAAAATGAAATGTTTCGATCAAATGTCACACTGCTAAATCAACATCTAAACCGATCAGCTGTTGGATCGGGTGAGAACCAGGCGTCTCCCATCAGGCCCTGAGGCCAAGCAGTCCCTGGAGGGCACCCGGCTCCGAGGACTGCAGTCGTTTTGGTCTCGTGATGTTATCGCTGCCAACGTCGTAACGGCAGAACAAGTCGGGATCAAGTCGGACAGAAATGTAACCAACATACAATAATCGCTGGTAATCAATTTTATGCAGGTCTGGCTCATATCAAATGATTATCAGTTAACTGGTCCTGAAATCACCCATGAGTTCAGCTTGAGTGGGTTTGTTCAGTCATATGTCAAAAAACGTACCGATGCAGAAGGAGAAGGGAGCTGCAGGAGCTCTCCAACACAGATGTAGACAGCGCTGTTTTTTAAAACTATTGAACAAATATAAATACAGTCGTGACTCGATAATCTGACCCTTAACAATCCAAAACCTTGCTATCCGACAGGTTTTTAGGAAAAACAAACAGAACCCATTAAAAATAGACTGACTCCAACATGACATTTAATGTCACCAATCAGGATGACGGCGTATTATCTGACTGAACAATCCCACAGATTGGCTACGTTCACACTGCAGGACTTAATGCTACATTCAGATTTTTTTGTGAAATCAGAGTTTTTTGTGAGTTCCTTCACATTTCCAGTTAAATGCGACTTGTATGTGATCTGCTGTGTGAACTTCATACGACCCAAAAGTGTCCCGCATGCGCAGAAGAGGACACGACGATGTCACACGCAACGAGCGTGCTCAGTGTTTACGGAAGTAAACACGGATGGTGGCCAGACCAGAAAGTGCTATTGGGACCAGCCCTACTAGTTATTATAACAACTATGAACAATCATTAACAACAAATGAGCCTTCAAGCATCAAGCCCTCCTTGGATCTCGACCTCCGTCTTGACAATCCGACAGCCTTGCTATCCGACATAAAAGAAGGTTTTACATTGAGTGTCGGATTATCGAATCACGACTGTACATTTATCAGGTGGACACAAACCAGTTTGGAATGACTCATACTGTTTTATCAGCTGCTGGATACCTCAATAGAAAGCTGTTTGCTGACATGTTCCATCACTCTCATACTGATGTTTGTCAGATGCATCACTACAGCTTGACCCAGCAGCCAATACTTTAATGTTGTAATTAATACATTCGTTGTTTTCAGATTTGCTGTGTTTCATACCAAAAGCTAAGAAAACATGTGTGAGAACACTTACATGAGATTCCTCAGAATTCTGACTTACTTACATTTTCAGCTTCAGTGCAGCAGGAAGACGATGCGGTGCAGAACCCTGAGGAAAAAATGATCAGAGTTCATCTGACGTCTTCTGGTGAACGTCGGCAGGATTCTTGTCTTGTCGCTGTTAAAATAAAACAATAATACACACAAACAGAACACAGACATGCAAGGAACAAACTTTTTCTTTTCTTTTTTTTTTAACAAATACCTTTGAGAATTAAACAAATAACGATACAGCACTAACAGACAGGTTTGATTACTTACAGTAATGACTTTTATTACTAAATATTTCATAAATAAGGTTTATTTCATTCTCCTCTACCGACTGCACACTAGCGTATTCTGAAGTGCAGAAACTCTCCTGTATGGAATGAACAGTGGCTACAAAAGCAGACTCAGAACAAGGAGTCCGGTGACTCTGAACCACTAATACAACAGTTACAAAACCTACTCTACCTTACAAACATTCAAGGTATTCTGAAACAGTACCACATAGTACCTTATGTCCAATGGGAACCTCTGTAACCTCTTTCTAACTGTCCCTCTTGGCAAGGATGAGCTGATGCTGGTTCAAGTTTCTCCGTTTTCATCTCTGCTCCAAATATTTACATAAAAAAAAAAAAGAAAGAAAGAACAGAAATACAGCTAAACTAGATCAGGTTTTTGATCAAATCAGGCATGAAAAGCCAGGACCAGAACTGCACACAGGCATCTGTTTCACAATACGAGCTAAAAATAAGTTTCCCAGTGGACAGAAGGGCTGAAGATGGACGTACGGACGAGATGCTCGAGGTGGACTCGTAGTGTAGCGCGGAGCAGCTGGGATTGTCGGTTAAGCTGGCACAGCATCTATGGCTGAAGTCTGTGAACTTCAATTCTGGCAGAAATACAGCTCAAAGCTATTAAACGTATCGTGTGTGTGTGTGTGTGTGTGTGTGTGTGTGTGTGTGTGTGTCCAAAGCCTGTCACATATCATCCATCCATCCATTTTCTATACACCGCTTAATCCTCATTAGGGTTGTGGGGGGCTGGAGTCTATCCCAGCCGACTTAGGGCGAAGGCGGGGGACACCTGGACAGGTAACCAGTCTATCACAGGGCTACACTTAGAGACAGACAACCAAGCACACTCACATTCACACCTACGGACAATTTAGAATCACCAATTAACCTCAACATGTTTTTGGACTGTGTGGGAGGAAGCTGGAGAACCCAGAGAGAACCCACGCTGCACGGGGAGAGCATGCAAACTCCACGCAGAAAGATTCCGGTGCCCCCACCGGGACGCGAACCGGCAACCTTCTTGCTAACCAACTGCGCCACCTTCTCTCCAGGTTCTCCGGCTTCCTCCCACACAGTCCAAAAACATGTTGAGGTTAATTGGTGATTCTAAATTGTCCGTAGGTGTGAATGTGAGTGTGCTTGGTTGTCTGTCTCTAGGTGTGGCCCTGCGATAGACTGGTGACCTGTCCAGGGTGTCCCCTGCCTTCGCCCTGAGTCAGCTGGGACAGACTCCAGCCCCCCCGCGACCCTAGTGAGGATTAAGTGGTGTATAGATAATGGATGGATGGACGGATGTGTTTCTGACTGGAATTGGCCTTTAAAGTTATTAAGTTTTACCAAACGCGACTTATTTCATCTCCAAACTGACTTTCTGTGTATTCTGAGTTCATTAAATGGTCACATTTCCTTCCCGATGCTTCATAAAGCCTGATGAAGCAGATACAGCAGGCTGATCATTACAACCAGCCACTACACACGTCCACATTTTTAACTGAACAGTAACTTCTGTAAATCTAAATCTGTAAAGTTATAAACTCTATAAAGATCCTCTGAAGTTTTTATGACAGAAGTGGTTTGACTCACGTATAATATGTATATTTTTTTTCTTCCTATCTCTGCATCTAAACATGCAGGCAATTTTGGTTTAAAAGCCCAGGTTTTGAGATATCTGTCTCCACCTTCCAGGAGAACAACAAAATTGCATCTGAAACACTCAGCAGCAACTTGTCTTTCTATAAACTTTTAAACCACAGAACCCGCACGAGCTGCTGTCATGAGTTTACACTGGAACTTCTTCCATCGTTTCTGGAAAGACGCGACGCTGTTAAAATTGTGAAGTAAACTCGGCCAGAAGTGCTTGTCGGAATAAAACCCCATCTCCATGCAACTTTTCCAGTGTTCCCTGCACATTAACATCTCTGTAGCTTTCTGAAACCAGTAATCCAACATTCACATCCACTTTACAGACGCTACAGACGCCAGCAAAAGCAAGAAAATATGTTTCATCGCTCCAATTGGGGTAAACTGATCTTTTAACATTCTTTAGTACAGTGTGCAGCTTGTTGTAAACCCTCCATCGGCATTTGTTTTACTGCTGAGAGATCCCGTTTTTCCTCTGGCAGGGCTAATGCTCGTCTTGTGATAAAACCAGCCTCCGCTTTATGATAGTTCGTGAAGATGAGCAGAGGAGTCTCGGGTGTAAAGCTGGCCCCGCAGACTCCTGATTGCCACCCTGCTTTTTCCAGAAACACCCTGTCGGTTTCCATCGTACCACAGTCTCAGGTTGGACCCCGCAGCGGCAACTATCAGCCGCCGCATGTCCTTGAGTGTCCCAGATTTATTCCTTTCTGGAGGAGGTCAGAGGGGGTGGTGGTGGTGGCGGCGGCGGTGACGGCGGTGGCTGTAGGATGTGGCCTTGAGTTACCCGGAAGCAGCGGGGTGGCTGGACGCGCCGGGCAATTTTATTCTTAGCGGACAGGCGGGGGAGGCTCCGGCGAGGCCTGGTGCCACGCGAGGGGGCGAGAGGGCGTGTCTGACGTCACATCCACAAGTGGACGTGGGCGGGGGGGTGGTTTGAGGCCTGACCGGGGATTCAGGGAGGTGCAGGGCTGTGGGTTCGACTGCTGCTGAGGCAAGACGAAGAAGAAGACAAGGAGGAGGAAGGAGAGAGTCAGCGAAACGGCTGAGGAGGAGGAGGAGGCGGAGGAGGAGATCGCCTTCATCCTCACTCTCCACGGGCTCAGAGCTCACCACAGTCGCTCAGCGCACACCAACGCTGCTGGATGTGGTGTGGTTCAGCAGAGGCAGTGTGTGTGTGTGTGTGTGTGTGTGAGGATCTGCTATTACTAGGCGATGTAAATATGCGTCTGGGAGGAAATTGCTTTGCTACTGAGATTATGTGACCCTGACTGAGTGTATTTACATATAAATACATATTTAGACTGCATATGTGAATGTCTTTCTGTGTGGTGTCGAGTTACGTAGCCTTGTATGTGTTTACACTGCATATAAATATACAAATATTTATATGTGTGAGCCCTGGATGTGCATATGTATGTGATGTTTGGACATGTATCTTGTTTTGTTTATCTACGTGTCTGAATGCATATCCCGTATTACGCTGACCCTATTAGCCCTCCGCCGCCTCCGGCTCCTTCTTCTTCTCTTTCACTTTTACAGACGACTTCCTCGACACTTTCTTGTCCCCTGACTCCTTGCCGGCCTCCTTCTCTTTGTCCTTCTCCTTTTTCTCCTTCTTCTCCTTGGAGGAAGAGGATTCCTTCTTGGACTCCTTCTTTGCCTCCTCCTTGGGCTCTTTGCTCGAGTCCTTCTTCGACTCCTTCTTCTCTTTGGACGACTCCTTCTTCTCCCTTTTCACCTCCTTGACGGGCTCATCGCCGCCTCCTGCTTCTTCTTTCACAGTCGCCGCTGAAGGCTCCCTGGACAGCTCCGTCTTCTCTTTTTCTGAATGAGGAAAAAGAAATGAAAAGGACTTTATTTACATTTCTTTACATGTGACAAAATCTTTCGATATAATAATAATAATAATATTGCATTAAGTAATTTTATTTGTCCGGGTTTTTCAGTTTTATCCACGATGAAAAACTTCCTTTTTGAATGTGAAAAATTCAAGTTGGGTGCACAAGAAAACAACGCAACTGAATACAACTGGGTAATGGTACAGAACAGAAACTAAACATAAGACTGAAATAGTAGCAATTGAACTATTTTTGTATAATTAGGAGTCAGAATACAGTACATCTACTTTAAACAGGCTAAATAAATACATAAAAAACAAAAACGCATCTGTAGTTTTATGCTTTCTGGCCACAAAAGTTAAGTGGATAAATCTGAAAATGCCAGTTTGGTGTTTCAGTGTGCATGAGGAACACCAGGCTTTTAAAAAACGATGACGTAAGCCCGCGCAGGCACAGTTGGAAGCTGTGCCAGTAAAGTTATGAAGAAAGTCAAGAATACATTTATGTTGTTTCCAATTTTCCCTGTGATCTCGCATTTTGAATAGGCGCGTAGCCGAACACACAGAGTAGCCATTGTGTTTAGCCCCGGATTGATGTTGATTTTGTCAGATGACGTCGTGGCTGTAAAATAAAGATTTCTGACCGCAGCGGCAGCCTCAGAGTTAGCGCTGGCTATTTACAAGCTGCTATTAGATTGCTGTTCTGCTGTCTGACAACAAAAAAATATATATGTAAATGAGGGGAACTACATTTTAAACCACTGCAGAAGTGATCACGGAGAGCAGGAGAGGACTGAGTGGAGGTTTAAGATGCTGACAGACAGAGTAAATGGCTTTAAGTCCCACTCTTAAGCAGATCTGATGCACAGTTTTGTAGTTTGCCAGCTGGAAAGAGAATAAAGAAGAATTGATTCAAACTTCTCCTGACGTTTAAGGTATTTTAGCGTTAAGGGTTTTTGGCAGGCTGAGTCACGCTCTGGCAAAGAACAGCCAGGTAGGGTTCAAAATGATAACGAGCCACAGGTTGTCTGAGAGTACGACTCGGGGATGGGTCGTCATGTTGTGAGCCCGCCGGAGTCTAAATGAGGATTAACTGACGTTCGCACAATCAGCTGTGTTCTTTAACAGACTGATGCAAACACACCGCCATTCTCAGGGGTCTTTAATATGAAGACAAATTGAGCGACAACAGCACCTGTTGCATGACAAAGGACCCCCACTTAACTAAAGTTACCCTCCACCCCTTCCAAACACACACACACACACACACATACATACACATACACACTCTGCAACCCCGCCTCCTGCAGATTGGATTGGCTCTCTGATAAGATGATAACAGGACTGTTGTCTGCCAACAATGAGATGCACTTCTTATCTCCATGAGAACGGAGAGGGTTTAGAGACTGGAGACTACGGCCTGGTATGTGTGTGTGTGTGTGTGTGTGTGTGTGTGTGTGTGTGGAGGCTGCAATACAAAGAACCGCCTCTGAGAGTATCTGCATGTGTCTGCGTGTGTGGATGTATCTGTCTTCGCATGTACGTGGTGGAGACTGCAGGCTGCTCCCTAAACGTGTCTGCGTGTTCACCGACTCCAGAGAGGAGCTCTAATCAGGGCAGCTCATCGTCTAGGGCTTAAGAGCCTCGGGTGGAGTGTGTGTGGCAGACGGGTGCCATAAACGGTCTTTTAGCATGTAAAAGGCAGACTGTATAGGGTTTATAATAAAGTTTCTGAAAGACTCATAGGTGGGGATCATGGTGCTTCAATACATTGCTCATAGTGAGGCATGTGGAAAACAATTGTGTTTTAAAGAAAATTCAGAAAGGATGAATGATTGAATTTGGCTACATAAATTACAGAAATCTGTATTTTTATAGTCTTCATACCTCAAGCATGTAGTTTTCAAGTGCTCCAACCTTTAATTTCCTTTTCTTTTTTTTTTTAGCTAGACCTGTTCACATGGAATGCAACGTGAAAGCAAAAAAAACCTGGATGATTAGAAATCCTCAGTCTGCAGTTACAGTAGTTTATGCTTCCCAGTTTAATATGTGCTAACTGAGAAGCTTCATTAAGCAACTTGTGCTTTTCCGCATGCAACCACTCGTCTCCCCACCCAACCAGGGCCAAATCGACTCCAAATAACCGCACCACCACAAAACTGTAACCATAAACACAGGCAGAAGTTAACATACATGCACATGTGTACGAAAACACAAACACGCTCTGTCGGTGCGACACAAGGGTGTCACACACAAACACGCACTAAATCGATCTGCACTTAAAGACAAGTGAGTGAGAACAAATAATTTGGGAGCACGAACACAGAAATAACCGACCGCAAGTTGTTTGTGCAAATTTACACTTTTGACATGCAAATTGTCCCCCTCCCTCCCTCTCTCTCTCTCTCCTCAGAACTTTTACAGTCTGACATGAAAGAAAAGTCGGGTGAGGGTGTGTCCGTATCTAAGCAGCGAGCTATAAAGAAACAAACGCCAGAAAAGAAAGTGTTTGTCTGCGACTATAACTGCATCCGTGCAACATGTCTGCGTCTTGGAGAGTGCGGCGAAGAAACCACAACAATATGTGTGAATCGGAGTTTTTATGTCGTGTCTTAGTGACCGCGTCATTAGTGTGTGTGTGTGTGTGTGTGAGTGGGTTAATCCCGTAGCGACAGTCTAATCCGCGCTGGATGCTAACTGTCTGGTTACCACTACACACACACACACACACAATCCCCCAGTCGGCACATCAGTCCATGGCAGCTGAGCCAACAGACACCAGGAGTATGTGTGTGTCTGTATCTGTGTGCGACAGACTTTACGGTTGCAAACAAACTTTGCAGCATCAGCTCACATATTCTAAGAACAGCGAACTTACACACACCCCGGAAACATTTTCATACTTTCTTGGACTCATTTTAGCTTCACAAGAATCATCAGCGCACATACATGTTAAATGTAGACTGATTTCTGTGGACTGATTGTGGCCCTTTATTGGTTTGTAGATGTCAGACTGGCCATGAGGTTCTCCTCTAATCTAATGGATGCGATGACTGAATGCATTATGTATTGTTTACTGGATACACTCTGCAAAGGTCATGTATGCAAAACTGATTTAATAAAACTGTTTTCAAGATCTGAGGTTAAAAGTTCATCACCGTGTTACACATCGTGTAAAAAGCAGTCGATGAAGCTATTTCACACACAAAAAGTAGGGGAGGAAAAAAAAATCAATATTAGCTTTTCAAAAATCAATAGCAGAGGACTGGTTGTACGAGTGCAGACACGCATCATTGTGAAAAATAAAGGGCTGAAAAAAAAAGGAGGAAAAAATCAGCACAAGCGGTTTGACCATCAGTGTGAACCTGAGTTGAACCTGAAACTGATCCTGGTAGCGGTCAGGTTTGACACCTCGGTCAAACTGCTCTGTTTGGTGTCAGAGTTCAGAACTTAACCCAGTACTGTCCGTTCAGATTAGCGCTGACGGCAAATCTATGACTGTGGCTGCCGACATACTCTGCTCCGATGGCAGGTAAACAATCAGCATTTCGGGCACGGGTCAAACCCTGATCTGCCGGGTGTCAAAGGTCAACGGTCCTCACCTCTTTGGCTTGTTTTTACAACATAAATGTGAACTACAACAACGTGGGCCTCCCTCGACTTTAGGGGTTTTCTGTGATACAACAATAAAACAAACTTCGCTCAACCTTAGCCTGAAATCTGAAGTGTTACATCGTCTACTGTGTTTACTGAAGATTCCTAAATGGTCAGTATCTGGTTGTACAGATGGTTTTAGTTTTGTTTGTCAAGGTTCTGAGATGTCTGTCATTTTTTGGTGACACAATCACCACAAATTAAATTCCAAAATCCGATTGACGTCAGTCCGTTTGGGTGGAGGCAGAAATCTCGGATTCCTCATTTAGGAGAATCAACCATGGGAACTATGTGCAAGGCAGGAGACAAGTGAGAAAATATTTCTTTTGTAAGCCAATTCATTAAGCTCTCTGCATTTAAAGACGCTGCAAAGCAGAAATCCAGTGGAGCTTTCTTTAGGATTAGACTACTTCAGTCCAGGACATCATTTCTACAGATTTATTTTACCATCCATCCATTATCTATACACCGCTAAATCCTCACTAGGGTCATGGGGGGCTGGAGTCTATCCCAGCTGACTCAGGGTGAAGGCAGGTTCACCTGGACAGGTCACCAGTCTATCACAGGGCTACACTTAGAGACAGACAACCAAGCACACTCACATTCACACCTATGGACAATTTAGAATCACCAATTAACCTCAACATGTTTTTGGACCTTGTGGGAGGAAGCTGGAGAACCCGGAGAGAACCCACGCTGCACGGGGAGAACATGGAGACTTCACGCATAAAGATCCTGGTGTCCTCACTGGGACGTGAACCGGCGACCTTCTTGCTTCTTCTTGCTGCGAGGCAACAGTGCTAACCACTGATCTACCTTGCAGCCCTCAGATTTATTTTCTCAAACATAAAATAAAAGTAAAAGAACAGTTTCTCCTGCAGTTGTTTGTTCTAAACAGCAAGACTCTAATGTTCGTTTAACAAATGACAAGCTGATTCTGACATATTAAAAAAACAAAAAAAAACAAACTCGCAACACAGATGCAGTGTGTATTATGTAGGAAATTTTACAGTTAGAAGATAACCTTCATGTGCTGCGGTTGACAATGTAATAACTGCACTGTTTCCACTTGACCTCAAACATCTTTCGCATTTCTGTGTCACTCTTTGTTCCTGCTTATCAGTCATGATACGTGTCAATACTAATGTATCTGCTCTAAGCCAGGAATAGCCAACATATCGCAGCTGTTATTTTTTGTGTGGTAGTTTAGTGGTGCTGAATGGACAGCTCCCACAAAGATGACTTTACATGTATCTTCCAATTTGCTGCACTATTGTTTGCTATTGTTATTGCAGTACTTGTCATTGCCGTGTTGCTTTATTCACCAAATGAT